ATCAAATGGATCGCTCAAGCTAGCCGTGTCCTATCTAGTTAGGTGCGCGTTCACATGAAAGGGGTGGTATTTGGAGCATTCGACCAATCACAACATGGAGAAGCGTACTGACAGCGCAGCGCGTCATACTTCCTGAATGAAAAGTCAACTATAATATTAGCACATATGAAGAAGTCAAACTTTAAACATCCATGAGTTAAACACTTTATCCAGGATCAAAGACACATAGCTGCACCTGCAAGGTGAATACAGCTGGTAAAAGAACAAGCGTTTGAATGCGTACATTAACAGGTTTATGATATCACTGCCCCGTCTAAGACACGAGTGGATCTGACTTTAATTACATTTGTCTCAAGTGTTTCGTCAACTTAATGTGTTGCTTAAAATAATGCTTCTGCATACAGTATGTGACACTGTGAGTGTTGCACGGCCAGATACGGCTAAAGAAGCTGACTCAGATAAGGAAATATATGATACATTATGATGTGATATGATGTGATATGAATGATAAAGGGACACATCGACGTCTGCACTCACAGTGCCGTGGACTGTACGTAATGTTACTCTGATCCGGTTACTTATGTTGTGGAAGATATTTAATTAAGCTTTCTTAAAGCTAATGTTATAATAGTCAGATTGCTCTGAAGATGGGAGGTGATATTCTATTAATGTTCACGTTCACATAGTCGGTGACTTTTGCTGGCCGTCTTTCCTGCAACTGCAGTTTTTCTGTATTTCCTTTCTCCTGTAATATGACTTGATCGCTTTAAACTCCGCACACTGAGCTCTGATTGGTCAGCAGGCGGTGCTTTCACTAAGTTGATCGCTAACCTGCTTCGCAGCAGGTTAGCCGTTCAGCAAATGGGGAGCATAAGTTACCATGGAGATCTAGCCCGCTAAAAAGTGAACCAGCGTCGTAGGACCGGAAACCTGTTCACCCTGAAGTTAGCCCGCTAAGCGAAGATCCGGCTTCGTAGTGTAGGCCTCTGGTGGAGGATGTACGTGTGTAATGCAGATTTGGAATGAAATTACTCAAATTTGCTATTTTGGAATAGGTGAGCCAGAAAATGCCTAAATCCAGATCTTCGGTTTGCATCTTTGATTTGCATCTGTGGTTAAAATGCAAATCATTCAATCTAAAACAAAGATTTTAAAATGTGACACTATTGATATATAGTATAAAAATATATCAGTATATTTTGAACTCTTGTAGCTTATATAAGACATGTTATCAGACATTAACTCAGAAGAATACTTCCTATGTATGGATTTGAAGAGGCAGCCTCCTGTGTTAACGCACCAGTGTGGGGGGGGTCCCTGTCGGGGCTGTCTGATGGGGATGCGGAGGGGGTCGCTGTCCTCTCTTCTCCTCCGCTCGTCCTCCTCGTCCCTCCGACTCGTCCTCTGTCCTGGCGCTCGCCCCTGAGCGGGCATCAGCTGAGTTTTCACCTTTTCTGACAGACTGTCTGTGTCCTTGAACACACTGCACAGAAAAAAGTGATTTATGTTCATTATTCACAATAAAGTTGTAAGTTGTAAAAATGTTTGTACATTGTTATTGTTTCTTAGATCCATGGCAAAGGTAAACTTGGTTCTCGTGATGGTCGATTATGGAGCATTCTGATGTGGAAAAAATTAAACTGACAGCACTTGGGCAATAAAAATAACTAATGGGAATTATTGAGGAAGATTACGTTTTATAACTTATTTTTTAGGGTCGTGTAAACTGTCTCAAAATTGTGGAGCTAAAGAATACATTGTAAGATAACTGTGTAGAAATGGCACTATGTTAAAATCCACTGATTCTTTACCACACTCCCCATTTGTAAAACATAGGGCCTGAGCTGAAGAGTTTGGATAAAGGTCTAATAATAATAATAATAATTTGATCTACTACAGTATTTGAATGATGGATTTGTTACCTTATTCTACAAGATGATACTAAAGAAACAACATGGATTCATTGAGAGATAGCGCCATCTGCTGCCCAGTCATGATTTACGTTTTCTATTGTTCTCTGTAGTGATAAGGTACAGCCTTAAAACTACAACCGAGAGGAATTGAAGTCGGTTTGCATTTTTGAAACCGGAACTATTGTTTCTGTTTTTATTAAAATACAACATTTATTTATTTCAGTTTTCTGTATTTTTCTCTGCTTATATCAGTTTGAGTTTACAATAATAACCCTGGTATGAAAGGATTATGTCAAAGCAGATGTGTATTTCAGTGGTTGGACATTATTTATGGGATCTATCAACAGAACGATTTAAAGGTTTGTATAAATAAAACAAAGATATAAAGAATTACGCTAAATGAAGTGTCAGGTTTTATGTTAAATTAATGGTCATGGCTTTGATTCTTCTTTTAACTATTTGTTGTTGAGTACCTTTACTTACTGTAACTGTAATTAACGATGAACTGTTATTAAAAATATTGGTATCGTCTATTTATCTTTCAAAAAAGGGTAAGGCAAAGTAAGATTACCCTTTTCCCTTCATCCTTTTCCGCTATGGAACATGTTAATACAATTGTTATGTTGATTGCTCTTTTTGTATTTCGTTCTGGTTTGTTCATAATCATGTGTGGAACAAATAATACAAGCATATTAAAACATTTGATTGGTCATGTCACGCTCTTCATTACTTGCGACCAAATGCTTTTTTTAATTTTTTTTTTAATTTTTTTAAATATGATTTACTTAAGTCAATAAAACAACTTAAAAAAAGAAACTGACCACCAACCTGTCAAATGTGTGCAGCTGGTCGGCCTCCACGTGATCGCTGATGTTCACCGTCAAGTCTGACACCTGCTGTGTGCCGGAGTTCTACACACACCAACACACACATCAGGAAAAAGACAGAAAGATACACACAATTACCAAAGTGCATAAGATAAAGCTCAATACCAGTCATACACTTGTTTCTCAAAATAATTGTTTAATTGCACATAAATCAAAGCTGACCACAATAATATATATATATATATGTATATTTCCTATGGGGCACGTACGAAGGAGCAGGGCCCTTCACTTGCAGAAATCTTCCTAATCTATATTATCAGTATCAAAATGTTGGTGAATGTGAATAGAGAAAGAAAATGTAGAAGAACCCAAATCCTTTCTCTTTCAATTGATCTCAAATTACTTTTCAAAAACGTCCCTATTTTTTAAAATATTTTTGTAGTTTCATGTAGATAACAAAGAATTTGTGGATTTGCACACTTTTTTGGTAGTAATGTTAATGATGAGGGATCATTACCTCTTATGCTGCTTTGTCTCAGCATTCAATCATTTGTTTTCTGCCTTTAACTTTGACTTAAAATTAAACACCATATCATTTTCTTTCCAACACATTTTAAAGTTGGTGAAATGTGCATTCCCCTGTATGTTAGTCGGCTGTTCCTACCATCAAGTTGAAGATCAGGGTGGAGTCGACAGAGATGGCTTTAAGCAGCAACTGTGTCTCACTGTCTTTGGCTTTGTATCGCAGACTGTACAGTTCCTCCCTGTTGCTGTTCCAGTCAGTAGGCAGCAGCTCGGACTTCTTATCACTGCCTTTGGGCTGGAGGAGGGGGAGAGAGAGAAAAACAACAAAACAGGGATAAATAAAGGGGTTTAGAAAAGGACAGTGAGAGCATAATAAGAGTCCAGACAAACAGATCAGATGGCTCTAAAAATCAGTGGTCGTGGTAGTAAATACTCAATAACTGTTTTCCGAAGTAGAAACTTGTATTGTACCTGAATCTTTCCACTACACTTTATCTAAGAGGTCACTTTTTATTCCACTATATACCTCTCACAGCTTTGATTGGTTCATCCCCTTCCTGTCGGTTATTACTACTAATATACTATGCGGTTCTGATGTGAGGATTTATAATGTTTGTGAAAAACTGAAGGATAAAGTGTCCTTTATGTGTTGTAAATATAATCGTATGTCTTAAATTATGAATTAGAAGATGTTTCAACTCAAAGAAACTGCAATCATATGATGATTCTGTAATATATGATGCATTTTGTAGAATAAACGACCCAACAAAACATTAAAATGTGTAGATCCTCAAACATCTACTGCAGTAAAATGCAACATACAAATTAATGCAGCAGTAATCCTAATCCTATCATCATAAATCTAACCACCGACAGGGATTTGTTTTACTACATAATGATTATTTGTTAAGATGTAAGGTTTTGAATCCACGGCATTACTTGTATAATACTGAGGTATTACTATTTTTACTGGAGTAAAAGGATCTTAGTATCATTGTAATGTAGTGCTTTCCTGTGACTGGCCCCAGGAGGCACAGTACCAGGTTAGCTAGCTAAAGATGACAGGACAGTTTTTAGAGCTCGTCAAAATATCTCTGTAATAGAACAACTACTAGCAGATTATGCTTCCAATAAAAAGGCTTTTTTAGAAGACCTTCAATGTCTTCACAACGGTATAACTGCCCATTAGATAAACTCAGATATGCTCATTTAGGAAGCTAAAGCTAAACTGTGCAGCTGGGCAAGTTAGCCCATGCAGAAGTCCTTTTAAAAAAGTACTGTTTTATTTCTTCCAGTAAGGCATACATCTTTACCCCCGGTAAAAACACACAGAATTATGTACTTGGACTGTTTAAGAGCCATTCTTCAATTCGGCTTAACGTTATAGGTGATTTACCAAACAGCACATATTTTGCTTTATATAGTTTAATTTATGTTGGTCCTATAAACCCGTACATATACGATGTTTACAAATGGTCAATGTAGCGTTAAACGGCTGGATTTTGAATGAAGTTTGGTGTAAGCTTGTCTACGGCTGATGGTTAAATGTTAGCTTTAGCATCTATATACAGCCAGTGGTTAACACAATGTTGTATTTTTTCAGCTTATGTTAGCTAGTTTAATTTACCTCGTCTCCAGAACCGATGCACCTGTATCCACTCTTTATCATTTCCCAGTGAACGAAGCACACCACGGCGTCCTGTGGACAGCTAATGCTGCCACCGACACAGGAGTATAACACCTCCAAGCCGGCCATGTTTGTTTGAACTAGCAACCAACTATAACAACATCAATGCAGTGTCAACAAGAAATGAAAACGAAAGTCTTCATAGGAGCTTAACATAAAATTCACAGCAACAATAACCACTTCCTGTCTAAACCTTTCAATGTAAAAGCACCAGTGAGAATTGTAGGTTTACTACCAATTGTTATGTCCAATCATAGATATTAACCATATACAGTCTATGATATCAACAGATCAATTATATTGTTATTAAAGATATTTCTCATATAAAAGATTAATGCATTTTTTTAATTTTGTGATGAATATGCTTGAACCCCATCGATCCGCCCCTGGGCAGAAAAACGCATCATCTGCAGGAAACAGCGTCTGAGGGCTTCTTAATATGTAATAAACTATGAATGTTTTATATCCATGTAACGGGAAGAAACTCAGCTAACTGATCAATTTGTTGTTGTTGTGCAAAACACAAAGCCAACGCTGAGCCTCTGAATTAGCCACGAGCGAAAAAATGCTAACGGCGCTTGCACAGAAAACGCAGTTTAACACCCTTATTACTGTAACTTCACATCCAACATATCGACTAGCATCGTGAGAAGACACAGAATCGATCGGTACCTACATCATCACTCCATGATAAGAACTCACAACTTTATAAACAAAAACAGACATCACAACACATGGCAAAAACGGCCATATGTCTTACCTTCGTTGTTGTCTGATCAAAAGTTGTCTTCAATGGCATTAAAACGATAAAAACGCTGCTGAAGGTTAATCCATAGGTTAATCCAATGTGTCTGTGTCACTTTGAAACATTGCTGATAATCCATAAGCAATAAACCTACTTTTCCGTTTTCAGGTTTCAGAGCGTGAGATAGGTTTCACTTTCGTCAAACTGCATGCGCGAAGCCCCCACTTTTTTTTGGTAACGTATGTGGAAATTCCCCTTCGATTCTATTGGCTCTAACGGTTCAAAAGAGATGTCTATAATCAAAATCGACCAATGGGTTCTAGAGAAACGGCAAAAACGCCCATTTCCACCCAAATCACCCCAGAGGTGGAGTTATTTTTGCTAAACCTCTCTAAAAAGGTCACATGTCACTTGTTTCGCATCAATCTTGATACAGGGTACTTATTATATATTGTACTTTGGATTCCTAAAGCTTTTACTCTACTAGCCCATCATCCAAGGTTTTCACTATAAGTAAAAAGAAATTTTAGGACGGACACTATAATTGCCATCAATCAATCAATC